TTCCTAAAAGATCCATTTTGAATTCTTGACTTATTCAAAGTCCCTTCCTTACATTTTGTGAGGCCTGTTTGATTTCCTGATACTTCTGCTAAGGTTACTCTTGTTCTGGTGTTCTGCAATGCTATTTCTGAATCTGTTGCATTAATATTTACTTCAGGAAGAGAAAGCAATATAGTAAATCAAAAATCTCTGGCTGGCTAAAAGGATAGCTCTGTTCTTTTATTCCTGTTTAAACGATGTGTCTGATCTGTTAATTACCTTAAAGGAGCGCAGGAAATGCTTAGATAAACTTTTGCCACGGTTAGTTGTGTCACATATGTATACTGGAGAAGATGCAAGTCTTCACTGTTGTATACATTGAGTAACAAACCCACAAGATTGGATTAGAACAGTTTTCCCCTCTATTATGCTTTCTGCCTTTAATCAGAATTATTTCATATTCATGTGCGTATATAACTTCTACTCCATCGTTTTGCTTTACCCTCTAATATAGTTTCAAATAAAAAAGCTATAAAAGTAAAATAGTTAGAAAAAAGACTGTCTCTTCAGTGTTTTATCTTAATAAGGCTATTATGTCATCATCCACATTTTGTTCAGCGAGATTGTCAAGTATAATTAAAATCTGTAAGGATTAAAGTTTCTAAAATCAAAGCAATTCTTTGTAGTGCCGCTAAGAACAAAAAGAAGAGAGTCCAAAATCCAGGAATGAGGATTAGGCTGTGATGAATTAACACAATGTGTATCTTGATGAGAAGCTGATGAAATATCATAGTAGAACATATTCCTAACTGTTCACAATTTACTGTTGCTTTGACCCTGAACAGATAGAAGGATCTGCCCTGTAAGTAGTAAGGCCACTGTCTCTTATATAGCACCGTTGTCAGCCACGGTGGACAATAGATAAAATGTACCCAAGACATACATCTTGTTCTTCAGAATATTTTTAATTGAGTGCTAGAGCTGGGATCATGCACACTACAAACACTGGGTTTGCTTTGGCTGGTGAGTTTCCTTTGGGTTGGAAGTAGGGTTAGAAAAGATGGGAATGTCATGTGGGGACTACATGAATAAGTTACCTATGCAGGGTTTAATTTGGGCTGTTTGATTTCTATCTGCATCGTTAGCATACTAGAGTTCCATAACCAGGAAACTGCAGCTAACACTATGGATGTGACTGAAGTTTCAATGTAAATAAGATGCTGTTGAGTCTATGCAAAACTGTCTGGGGGAACGTTCTCTGCCCATCCACCACATCATCATGGTTAAATTGCAGCTTACTGAGAGCGCTTAGTGCTTCGGCTAAACTGTCATTTCAAGCTTCATTCTAGTCAGCCTGTTAAGGTGGGCCAGATGAAGAAACAGCACGGATTCCAGGAACACTCTTTATTATTGTGGGGCATTCTTGAAAGCCTGTCAGAGTTTCTCTCTGCCCTATCTTATACCAAACAAAATCAAGGCAGGATTATTATTTTTTTCTCACACTTTCCGCATACTCAGGACTGAATTGCTATTCCTCCTCCCTTAACTTTTCATTGCTCTCTTCTCCCTTTCCAGGGCCAGATCTACATTCATTCACAATTCCTCAGACAGTACATGGTCATTTAACTAGTGGAAAAGAGAGGTAGGGTTTAATATAGCGGAAATCTTGATATAAAGTCATTAGCGCCAGACTGAAACTATTGTCACATAACTACTGCTTTGATATGAAATGCAGCAGTTCTATTTCTCTGTTACTAGACAACCCACGACCCGTTGGGTCATCATTTCAGAGATATTTCCTTACCTAAACAGATCAACAGAATGACCATGGGCAGGCAAAAATGCAGTGGGAGTGGGAGCAACTTCCAGTTTCCTGCCGGCTTCCCCACTGACTTTGCTTGTGGGAAGCTGGCAGGGAGAAAGTCAATGGGGAAGCTGGCAGGGAAGGTCACAAGTTGCTCAGGTAAGTATCCCCCACATTGTTCCCCCAGTCCCTCTGTGCTCATGCCACACTGGCCACTTGCACATCCCTGCACACCCTCCCTGATCCACACCCTCGCACACCCTTCCTGATCCTCACTGCACCTCTCAGGCACCCCCAGGCACCCTTGTGCACCCTCCTGACCCACGCCATGCCTCTCACGCACCCCCATGCTCCCTCCCCTACCTGGCAGCAGCCACTTATCTGCCTGCTGGCCTTGGATTGGTACTTCCTGCCGGCTTCTCCACTGACTTTGCTTGTGGGAAGCTGGCAGGGAACTTTGGAAATGATGATTGCGTGACCGCGGCTGACTGTAACAGCACAGCGGTGCTGAAGCGGCCACAAGTTTGCCAAATTTCAGTCCCACAGGAGTCATGGGTCCTGGATTTTGGACATATTCTGTAAGTTAGCCCATTTGAGGTAACTTGGTTCAAAAATTGTTGCCCTATGATGCACCGTTTCACCCAGTTGAAGGTGACAAACAGACAAACAGATACAAGAGTTTTAGTAGTATATAGATACTCAATTTTGGGTGAAAAGTTAAATAGTATTATGCTTGCAGTATTGAAATCCTAAAATGCTATTAATATTGATAAATTTTTTTACTTGTTTATTCTTATTTTCAGTACTTTAAGGTTTCTAAATAATTGGATGTTCATTTTTAATATTACATAAATATTATTGCATTGAAATCTGCAATGAAATATTACAATGTATGAAGATTTATAACATTACAATAAAAGGAAAAATAGGGAGGAAGGGAGGAAGGAAGGAAGGAAGGAAGGAAGGAAGGAAGGAAGGAAGGAAGGAAGGAAGGAAGGAAGGCAGATGTAGGATAGATAGGGAAACTCAGTAGAGTTCTATAAAACATAAAAATTCCTTTGAGTTGAACTCAGTTCCTAATAATCAAATCACATTAAAAGTTAGGGTTGAAAGTGACTGCTTGGTGCAGTAATCCTCAACAGATAGTGATCCAGTATGAACCTAAATACCAACATGAACCTGAAGATAAGTGTGAACATATTTATATAGTTTTCTTGGTGTCAGAATAGAGGGGAATTTTTCCACTGCCTTTCTCCAGGGTTTTTTTTAATCTCCCAGTCTAAAATTTAACCCTAGTGGCCTCCTATCAAAGTACTAACTAGGTCTGACTCTTAGTTTTTCAATATCAGCCTGGATGGCTAGCTGGAGCCACCTGCTGTGACTGTTGGTGACTACATGGACAGTTTTCTTTGGCAATAATGGAGAAGTTGCTTATTATTGCCTTCTTCCAGGATATGTTTCAACTTCTTAGTCTAATATCTGTTATTTACACTGGAGATCTGTGTTGCAGTTAAGCTTGTTTATGTATGTATTTAATAGATCTATGAGGGTTAGTACTGTATGCCAGTGAAGAAGAGTGGAGCAATTTATCTTGGGAGTTTGAGGGCTATAAAATGCTCTATAGACTGAAAAATGGTCATAAAAATAACACCATGCAGTTTCATGTTTCAAATTGCTTAGTGATGTCTTGTCACATCTTAATTTTATTGGTCATCAAATATAGAAACTTGTTGCTAGGTAGTAGAATGGAGTTCTCAAGAGAAGACCTAAATGTTACAAGAAGAGGATTGTTTGTAAGAAATTACTGAACTAATAACCAATTACGGCAGGCTTTGACAATCCCAAGGAAGGGATTGTTAAGTACTGTGGCTAAAAAGTATGAATTTTTGGATTGCTGTTAAGGCGGGTGGCAGCTATGCAAATTTAGCAATGATCAGTGATCTTTAAAACAGCAACCAAACATTCTAGTTAGTTCTCGGTAGGACAATTCAATTTCATTTTTTCCAACGTCTTATATTTTAAGAATAGAATGGTAACTTTTAGGATAAAACTGTTATTATTGTTTGTAGATAGTATCTCAGAAATTATGTAAGTGTAACATCAGAGAAGTGTAAAATCCAATACATGTAAACCAAAATCATAACCTCAGTTTATTCTTCCAACTGTGGTAATTATCCCCACAATTGTGATTTGTGCACCATTTGGACTTTATGTATTTATCCAATCTTGTTGATAAGAAAAGTTAGACTTTGGTTTCATAGGAAAGACTTTGAGAGACACACATGGAAGAGCATCATTCAAACACTTCTTGTAAATGATACTGCAATCTCTCTTCCCACTCTGATTCTTCCTGCTTTTCTCTAAGATTTGGACATGCTGAATATCTCAGTTCCTTTCAGTAGCATCTGATGAGTTATAGCAGGAAGAGGCCATTTGTTTAGAGCAGTGTTTCTCAACCTTGGTAACTTGAAGATGTGTGGACTTCAACTCCCAGAATTCCCCAGCCAGCATGGCTAGTTGGAGAATTCTGGGAGCTGAAGTCTTTCAAGTTGCTAAGGTTGAGAAACTGTGACTTAGAGGGAAGTCTGTATTCTCGATATGGAGATGTTCCCAGGATCAATCTATTACTCTGCATAGGGCTGAGAATGGCTATGCTGAGTTTGATATCTTGATTCAAAATAAGACAGGGTCATATATTAAAAAATGCAATTTGATGATGCCATGGCACAGATCAAAGTGTCTAAATTTTAAAGAGAGTGGGAAAATAGATATCTAGTTCCATCCAAAATTAACGTTGTCCTTCACCAAGTGCAGTAATGCTTATAAACAGAAAATAACATGCAGTCAAGTTTTCTAGTTGTATTGTGCTTCAAATCTCAGAATTCCTGTCTTAGAAACTACATACAGCACTATATAAAAGCAAACCAAATAAAACTAGATTCAAATTGTTATCTTTTAACAAGTAATTACAAGAAGTAAAAGATCCATATAGATCAGGCATATTAGAGCTACCATGTCTATGCTGCAAAAACTGAGCCACCCCTAGATGAAGCAAAGAGATTCAGACAATCTTTGTTCCCATCTAATGGTTGTCCAGATTTTTGCATAAGGTATATGAACAAGTGCAACTATTGTAATCTTGGAACTGGATCTCTGATCTTGCCTTATTTGGGCATTATTTTTCACGTGTGTATCTTTAATTATTATTTTGTTGCAGAAACTGGAACACAGAGAAGTTCTAGTTGGCCTGTTGTTCCTGATTTTCCCCTTCATACCTGCTAGCAACCTCTTCTTCAGGGTGGGATTTGTTGTGGCAGAGCGCATCCTGTATATGCCTAGGTAATATTCATACCTTTAATTCTTTTACGGAGAGATGCTCAAGCTTGAGTTTTAAAATCATGGATTTTATTACATTGCATTCCCACAAGCTGCCACTTCTGAAATGTTTCAAGATGTAAATAAACAGGTAGTAGTAAAACTGTCCCCAACTGGAGTCCTTTGAGGTATTTTGTTCTATGATTCCCATCATCTGCAGCCTGGTAGGTCAACATATTCAGAGGAATTCAGATTGTGGGAGGTTGCTGTAATAGATTCTTTTGAACAAGCTGTATGTGGTGATTTCGTATAAAGCTGTTTATATATTGCTGCTGCTTCTTTTTTTTTTTTTTAACAATCATGGCTCACCAAGGGTTAAAATAATCTGTAGATTGAGTTTGAGATGAACATGTTCTCTGGGACTTTACTGAAATAGGTGCTGCATAGACAGTCATTCTCAAATGGCTTGGCTAACTTTTCAGATTGTAAAAACCTGATCTAGGTGAGCATTTGCGGGTGGACAATAATTTTCTATAAACAGCACTATCCTTCTCTGAAAGGAGTTGAGTATAAAGCCAGAGATGTTGCCTTGGCTTGTTTTTATTGGCTTAGTTTGTATAGGAAATGATTTGATAGAGTCACCCTGTTTCTTATAAAAACAAATGGAAGAGTAAATGGCAAACTTGAGGTTATCAAATTGATCCATGGTTTTGCTGAGAAGAGCTTTAAAGAGATATAGAGTTTTACTTAATAAAGTGAGACATTTTGTTATGGGTACATCTACGGAAGATGTTAAGAATGAACAACAAGCATATAAAAAATTACCCCATTAATACAGTGTGTTTCCATTTATTTGTTTATTTATTTTCAAGGGAATCGTTTCCACATCAGTTCATCTCTGTCATGAGAGCCAGTTTGCTGTAGTGGTTAAGGCAAGAGTCTAGAAACCAGGAGACTGAGAATTCTAGTTCTGCCTTAGGCCCAAAGCCAGCTAGGTGACATTGGGCTAGTCACTGTCTCTCAGTCCTAGGAAGGAGGCAATGGCAAACCACTTAAAAAATCTTGCCAAGAAAACTACAGGGACCAGTTCAGGAGTCACCAGGAGTCAACACTGACTTGAAGGCACCCACACATAAACTCATCTCTGTTGTAGGCTCCTGGGCTATTTGTTTTTTTGAGGGCATATTCAGTTCATCATGGGAACTGGCTAGGTTTCCCTCCTCTAACTAGATCATACAGGAGAGATGTATTTGTGAATACTACTCATATTTTTCATGGAAACTTGCCTGACATTTCTGATTTACTAACTAAAGAACATATTATAAGCTTCTAAAAGCACGAGTTTGAAAACAGCTGTCTTGATCAAAGAAGTTCATTGTTCAGCAGTGCTTCAAAATTATTTTATCATCTTGTTAACTATAAGCACTATAGGGCCATTGATTTAAGCAACTTAATTAGTAGATGTTTTAGTTGATTAATGGAAGTAACTGAGATAGCTGAGCATATTTATTTACTTTATAAACATTTTTAGCTCTTTTTATAAACATATGATGGTATGAGAAGAGAAAGTATGACCCGTATTATTGTATTTACTAATAAGAAAACCAGTGCTCCAACTTCTGATCCACACAAAACTAGAATACTATCATCCATGTACGGAAGAGATTAATGGGCTTGTGGTAAACTTCAAAATATCCCAGTGAGAAATGGACATGTTTGCAGGCATGGAATGCTCACTGACCTTTTAAAGCCAGAGAATGAAAAAAAAATTGAGACGGGACAAGGATGGAACAGAGGATGGTGGTCCTGAACAGGAGCAGTTTGGATTGTGGGTCCCATGTAGGATGCATGCAGCTAAACCCTTTAGAAGCAGTTGCATTACCATATCAATGGTGTTTACTGGGAATCTAGACATCATTGTTTCCCAACTGTAATCGCCAATGTTTTCTCATTATTTCTTCCATCCTTTTTCTTTCTACATGTGTGCATCTACATGTGAGTGCACAAAGACACATACATGCAGAGTCTGCTAAGGAGGAATTGATAGAGCTAGGAACCCTTTGTCTACAACCAAGAAAAATGCCAAGTTAATGAAATCCTAGAGATTAATCCTAAAGATGGTGGGACTGACTCTTTTTCATATTTTCTTGTCCAGTGCTCATTAAGGTTTGGTTGTTGGATCTACTAATGAAAGCCTGCAGTTCTGTTTCAGGATGTACAATAAGACTTAGGATGTTTCTCATGTTTAGTGTGGTGTAACAGTTTTATTCAGTGACAGAAGTGTAGCTATCTTGACAAGTTGGCAGCATGCTTCAAAAATTTTTGCCAATTCATATTCCCTTAACTTTTGGCTGGTGGTGTTATAGGAGAGCATTTAGTTTAAAAGGACAAGAACAGTTTCTTCTAGGAAGGGGCAATTTATATATCACTGCTAACCGGAAGAGAAGGTTAATGCAGAGGTACTCCTTGTGGTTGTCAGCTCTTCCTACTGATAAGCAATAACTCCACTCATCTATGGCTTATTTAAAGAGAAGAGTATCGTCCAGATATAGGGCAATGCATACTTGCAGCTGGAGCTATCTCAAGATGATAATCTTAAGCAAGCTGAAAACAAGCAATGGCTACCATTTGAGATAGGATCTGACTCCTTTCTGTGTATTTTCCTTAATTTTTAGCATGCTGCTGAGAGTTTGAAACTCTTCATCTTTGGCATTTGGTAACTTGATTCTGAATTTTCTAGTATAAGAATTGTGCTTCAGATTCAGTACTGGAATTTAAATCTCAGATGAAGAAAGTACAAGGTCTAATTTGTAAAATGGGGGAGTTCTTGTGATCTTCTTTGAAGTCTGAAGGTTCTTCTGATGCATATTCTAGTTGAAAAAATAAGAGCATTGAGAGAACTAAATGTGACTGCTCTCCAAAAGATAGAATAGTGCTAACTATTCTGTCTTGTTTTCCAAACAATGGTGTCTTGGATCTTCTATCAAGAACGTGTAACCACTGACAAATGAAAATAATTTCTCCTCCCCCTCCCCCTCCTCTTTCTCTCTCTCTCTCTCTCTCTTTTTTTTTTGCTCCAAGGGGAATCTGTCAATAAAATGTTCCAGCAACTTTGGAGGTTGGAACTTTTCAATGTTACTGAGTACGTGCTTAATTAGTATTTTCATCTCATACCTTCTTGCCAAAGATAGTATCCTTTTAAAGATTTTCTTTCTACTTTACCTTTAAATTGCCTAATCATTCTAAGATTAAACATCGTTAAGTATGTAGTGATGCTTTCAGTATATTTTTGGCATTTTTTGAATAACAAACATTATTTTGTAAAGATTTCTATTCATCTCCATTTTAGTGGCTTTGAGAGTCATTATTCCACCCACATCCCAGCAGTGAAATTGGCAGAAATTGAATTTTAGATTTCAGTTTAAGGATTAAACTGCATACTACATGAAAAATCTATGATTGGTTTTTCTTATTTTCCCTTTTTTTAATGAATTATAATAGCAAAGAGAGTTGTGTAATGCATAACTTCATGTCTCTGTCTCCAATCTATTGTCCAATTCTGCTGTTATGCCCTTTCAGGACATTTGGTATCATTCTCTGAATATTTCTCTTTTATTTTTTCTCCTGTCTTCCATTTAAGATTGTTCAGATTGCTTATTGAACCATTTTAATTCATAAAATTTTGGTTTTGGTTCAATTGGTGCAGCCCAATCCTCATTCATACATTGATTAAACATATCACTGTTAATTTTGAATAGGGCTTCTGACATTTATGAAAAGGAATTAAAAAGATGAAATGGCTGGATTGGTTTATGCTCTTTTCACACTTTCCTGGCTTGTTCTTGTCTTCCTTTGGGGCAGGGGTAAGTTAAATGACTGTAGGAAGACCCCACTTTGTCATGGAGTTCACTAAATGACTTTGGAGCAGCTCTTTTCTCTCAACCCAAGCTACCTCACAGGATGATTGCTTTGGGAATTAAATTAGGACCAGTCTTGTGAATGCTGCTGTTAGCTCTCTGAGCAAAGGGTAGAAGAAAAAAGTGGATGGATGGATGGATGGATGGATGGATGGATGGATGGATGGATG